TCTGATGACCTTGAGAATGATGGGACTCAAAATCTTCGAATAAAAAGGTATACAAAATTTAAAAATGGAAAATTTCCTCACTACAATTAGCAAATCGAATATAACGAATGGCAAAGGAGAAGTCGTCTAACATTTTTAATTTGATTAACTGTTCAAGGTCACATAAACCTTCTAGGTAGCTAATAAGGTTGGTAATATATGTGCAGAGCATGAATTCGCCTTTTGTAGCATACTTGCAGAATTTAATATGTTAAATTGCGTCCCTTTGTCATTGTATTTGGGTCACTATATTAAAAGATGTTCTATAGTAAACTATGTCACAAAACTTGAAAGTTGTTGGATGAGTGAGACTCCTTTGTTTATAACTGTGTAGTCCATGATGTAAATATAATATATACGAGTTTCATCTAGTGTAAATAATGTGTTATAGAAAATGAGAGAGAGGGAGAAAAATTCTAAAAAGAGTACATTAATTAATTACTTCAATACTATATTATTCTGGATTTATTGCTTTAATATTCTTCGCAAAAATATACTTTGCTACTCTCGTTAAAAATAGTGAAAATTATTCTTGTCCCATTCCACCTACAAATTGGTCGATAATATACGAGTAAAGTATGAATCCGCCATTTGTATCTTATTCATAGAATCTAATATGTCAAAACGCGTTCTTTCGTCACTATATTTGGTACACTGCACTAAAAGATATTCTATAGTAATTTATGTCACAAAACAGACTCCTTTGTTTATAACTGTGTAGTCCATAATGTAAATATAATATATACGAGTCTCATCTAATGTAAATAATGCATTATAGGAAGTGAGAGAGAGGGAGGAAAATTCTAAAAAGAATGAATTGATTTATTACTTCAATACTATTATTCTGGATTTATTGCTTTAACATTTTTCGCATAAATATACTTTGTGTTTCTAGTTAAAAATAGTGAAAATTATTCTTGTCACATTCCACCCACAAATTGCTGATAATATACGAGTAGAGTATGAATCCGCCATTTTTATCTTACTTATAGCATCCAATATGTCAAAATGCGTTCCTTTCTAACTATATTTGGTACACTGCACTAAAATATGTTCCATAGTAATTTATGTTGCACGCATCACAGATCTCTAAGCTTGATTCCCTAACGAAAGAAGAGTGCGTTAAATTTGTGTGTCCTGTTCTTAGTTTAGTAAGTGTTACACTATCTCTTCGGTAACATCGAGAACATTGGGCTAACGTTCTTCGCGCTATCGCGAACTTGGCGCAATATCTAACATGGCGAGCTAGAATTTCGACCATAACGACGTCGTGAAATTCACAAAGCAGATAACCGAAGAACCTGTTCACGATAAGAGAATTAAGAATCCGAGGAATTTCACGAGGGCGGCCATTTTGTCCGGTCACCGTGGTTTCGACCATGGCTGATCCCTCATCGTAGCGCGCCATCTATTCCGGGACGGCGAGCAACGATACCGAGCAAATAGAATTTTCGCAAAGTGCACGAAATGATCTCGCTAACCTCTTACCCATTCTTCTTCCGCGCGGATATTAAGGTCACTCAGGAATATAAGAATCTCACAGAGAGAAAGATAAAACGAAACGGAATAAAGGATCCTCATCTCGGCCGCGTCTTATCGTTGATTGTACTACTTTGCTGGAGTTTCATCCCGCGCCCCCAAGGTTTCACGCGCTAAGAGAGCAAATAAATGAAATTCTGATAAACAATTTCCCCTCTCCCCACCACTGCTATTCGCTGCCCCTCCGCTCGGCTGAATATTTCCCAGGGATCCTGCTCCTCGCGTTTCCGCTAATTTGAAATTTAAACGGCGAAAAGAATGGCAAAGCATGTTTAATATTAACCTCGGAAATAATGAAGAAATTTTTCAGAACGAGAAGAACCGTCGATCTTTAACGCGTTGGGGGGGGCTCATAGAATGATCGATGCAGGAATTAATCGCAATATTTGAATTTAATAAACAATTGTACCTGCAAGAGTTCTAACCCTTTGCACTCGAGAGGTGACCCTCAGTCACAATTTCATAAAATTTGGAAAATCGATATTAATTAATATATCAAATTTAATGCAATGTAACAGTGTGCAAAGTATCGAAATTAAATAATTCTACAATTCTTTATTTACTGCTCAAAAAGGTGTCAGCTTTTTAATAGAGAATCTTTGATCTTTTACTCTTCTCTAGCCAAAAATCGTCGAGTGCAAAGGATTAATAGTATCACGATTAAGCCATGTACAGTCTGTGCACACAGTAGCTGTGTTAAATGACCGATAGATGAAAAATGAAAGGAAATAAAAATTGGAGTCAAAAAATGTAATAATTAGGTGAAAAGGAAAAAGCGAAGGGTAGCTGTTTTTAAATAATCACGTTTCATTCTCTACACAAGTGTATTCTCTCATGTTCCGTACTCGACTGACAGAACGTTCTAGTCACGACTCCATTACCAAAAAACAATTGAGGCTACTGATGACGTCGTTGCTTCTCCGTTGGTATAGTCAATATCTTTATTATCGATTTCGCCAACAGTCAATATTTATAGCAGAACGCTTTACGTTATCATTTTAACCACTTGCGCTGGAAAGACGTGTCACGCACGTCGTACATTTTTGTCGCAGAATCGCCAACGACGTGGTATACACGTCGTCAGACAATTGTCACAGAAACATTGGACTGTTCTGGCACACACGTTTGTAAATATCTTGTCACCGCGCGTGGTAAATCGAACAATCGTGTAAAAAGTTGATATCTCAAAAAATCTTGGAAGAGATCTACGTTACCGATCGACTTGAGCTTTCTTCAAATTTCCAAACAGGGTTTTAAACCAACCCAGTATGAGTAACGAAAGAAACTACCCCGAATCTCGTATCGTGATCCCTACAAATCTGGAAAGGTTGAAAGAGATCGAAATTTTCGGATCACCGAAGTCCCCGTGCTAGTAACAGTGGCAGAATTGTTGGCAGATCCCTAGAATTTTTATACGTCGGAATTCCTCTGAAAACGCGGTGGAATGTACGATTTTCTAATGTCTGCGATAGAAATTCCCGTCTCTGGCCGCGGAGAAAGAAATTTCTAAGCGAGGAGGCACTCTTCCCGCCGGTTGCAGCTTATCGCCGATCGTCGCGGCTTAAAGGCGACGTTGAACGAAGCGCACCTTAAGCCCCACCACGATACCGGCGAGGACAGAAAGCAGCGACGCGCGTAGATACTGTCTGCTCCTACGACAGCGAACGCTCTCTCCGCGAAATTGGATCCTGCTCGTGGCGTAAGTTGCGGATAACGAGTGCTTGGATTTCGGGCTGGGTATGTGGAATCGATAGTCGAACCGTGGGACCCACTTACATTCCGCATCTCGCAACCAGATATTTTTAAATCAAATCCAACGAAATTTTCCGCCGACACAGTGTGTTAGGTTTCACTTAGCAGCTTCAAGTCGGTTACCTGGCTACACGACATGGTTGCCTGGCGCTTCTATTATTGAAAATTCCCTAGCCTTACCCTATCTTGCGCCTCCGCGGGTCCTTGCAGGTGGAACCCGAGGCTAGGAAATTACTGTACGACTACAGAAACTGTGGAGACCTGTGGATCAGATGAGATGCTAGGTCCTCTTGCAGGCTCTGCCTCGGTTTCTAATCGTCGACCATTTTATCGAGGTTTATGTATTCCTGTTTCTAAGTGTTCGTAGCAATGTCTCTATTGGTATGAATGACGAGTAAATGCGAAAGAATCGGTAACCGTGTAAGAATTCGAGAGAACGAGCAACTGTGGATGAGCATCACTTCCTTCTGAGAGAGTACATGGTGTGTGCTGTAAGCGTGGTGTAAGGTAAAAGAAAAAGTAAAAGTGAAATACAGAGCTAGTGTTAAGATCCGTTTACAGAATATTAATATACATACACAAATAGATACAGCTTTTCTTTAATTATCTGTATTATACAATTATTTCATGCCTACATTAAATGAATCCTTTGCATTCGAGAGGTGACTCTCAGTCACCGTTTGTTTTAATGCCATAATTTAGATAATGAATGTTGATAATTATATTAAGAACATCGAAATAAAATTATTCTACTCGTTCGCTTCACACGCAAATTCCCGATTTTCTTTTTTCAATTTTAGCATAAAGAGTATCAGTGAAGTTACAAAAATCTAAGAAGAGCTTCGAATTGTATCTTCACAGTGAAGAAACCTTCGAGTCCAAAGGGTTAATAAGCAGGAACCTCCGCTTCAATTATTCACGACCCACGTGGAAACCTAACCTCTAACACTAAGAATATATACTGTCTTGTCAATCTATCAGATGATCTATGAGATGGTACCATCTATGCAACCCCTTCTGCTATTAACAGCTCAGTATCTTTGCTCCGACAAAACTCACGCAAGTAAAAAGAAAATGAACACACTGAACTCCCACTTGCCAGGTGCAACTGATCCAACAGGATAGTTCACTTGAAAAAGAATTTCTTCAAAAATGGACGACCCAATCGCGTTCCCAAAATTAAACGTCGAAAAACCGTGCAGTCCCCACTGCCTGCAAACGGCCAACGAAATATCTGGAATTCTCTGGCAGCAGGGTATTAACATCCATCATAATATTGCAACGGGAGCGATATACACGAGTCCTTGGACCCCCTTCTCGGCGCACCGCCACCCCCAAGCCCACCCGCGGCGGAATTTCGTCGGAGAAACGTTTTATACGCCGCTGTCGGTTGGCACGTCGCCTCGAGCGCTTTGTCGGAGGGTCCGGCCAACGAAGGGTGCAGTTAATTAATAAAAGCTCGGTGGCGGGCCAGGCGCCGGAGGGGGAGAGGGGGCGGCGGCCTGACGCGGATAAAGGGACGCGAAATACGATCCGTGCATCGCTTCATATCGACGGCCGCCTGTCGATACGTACCAACGTACGTGCACGCGTGCACACACACACGCACACACGCAGACGTTCAGACACGATAGACTATATCTCACTTGCAATTCAAACGAGAGACTCACGTGTCCTGAATGAGGAACTTGTCGCCTTCGGTCTCGATGCAGTGGCCCTTGCTGGTCATCATGGAGCCGTTCACCGTCACCAACCCCTGATACCCCGATTGAAACCAGTGGCCGTTCCACTGCGCCGGAAACTCGCAACCTGCAACACACACACAGACAGACATCAGCGTATAGGCAGTTTTACATTTTTTTCATATGGCCAGTCGCGGTCGATAAATAAAAGCGCGATATATAATCTGGCCAGGAGAATATTCAAACTGCGCAGGGAGGTGCAAGAGGTGTGCAGTTCGTGGAAGGACTGGCTCGATCGACTCTTTTGTCAGCCACAGAGTTTTCGAGGATGATCGGATCTTGTCGCGTTCGTTCGTTCTTTGTTTCCCCGCGGTTTTTCTCCCCAGATGGCGCGACTGAGTTAGAGGCGCTGGCTTACGAGGTCGGATTACTCTGGTCTATTTATGGCGGGACGAGAGGCAGGTTAGGATCGAAGAACGAGGTTAGGTTCTGTTTCGTTCGAAGGCGGGAATATTCGAAATGTGGAATATGTTCTCTGATTACAAGAGGTCCGATTTTTTCTTTGAAAAGATGTTTATGTATGTGTTTTATATATATATGTAATACATTATTTATATTTGTATATGTATGTTGGGTTACATATGTATATATGTCGAATTTTAGCGAATGTGAGAGACACGGAGGGGTTCTTTAAATGAAACTCTCGCTTTGTAAACATGTAAATATCGAATAACATTGACATTATACTTAAATTGTTAACTGTTACTAAGTAATTTGTAATAATGTGATATAATACGCAAACAAGTGCAATATGTGGAGTAATGGGTAATTAGAACCCACAGCTGTATTCCCAGGTTATGGAAATGTTCCAAAGTTCATGACCTCTTTTTTACCAGACCACTGAAGCTATTTCAATCAAGTTTTGTCCGGCCATTTTACGAACAGTGCTAAACGAAATCCATACACGATTTTTTACAATCCTTTTACAAATCCGTCATGTAATAGTAAAAGATTGAACGAAAAATGATAAATGACTTTTCTCCCTGACAGTGCAGCTACCATTTCTTCAGTTCCTTCATTCGATACATTCAGCAATCTATTAAAGATTGTTATAAAATTTTATCGAAATCTAAAACGTTGGAAATTTTATTAAATTCGACTCCCGAAATTTTAAAAAATGCGTTGATACGGATAAAAATTATGGTTCAACAGTGGAGGGATTTTTTGAAAAGGAGAAACGATTCACTTGTTAAACAGCTCGAATAAAATGTCCAAAAGGAGCAAATGTTAAAATTCAGTTAGGAACAAAGAACATATGCTCACGAGTAGGAATAAAAATGAAACGTGCTACGAGAACAAAGGATGATCCTGTTTCCAGAATAGTAAGATATAATTATTTCGGTAGTGGAATTTAATTTTCAAACGAAGAACATGTGCTGTCAATTGAAGCAGAATTATAACGAATTATTTAAAGTTAATTCTAGAAATTTTAAAACAATTCCATTGAACCGTCTGCAAAGGGAGAGAGAAAATGAAATTGACTTGCAAGAGAGGAAATAAAACAAGTGAAGCATTAAGAACTTGTAAAACAGTCACGAAGAATTTTCAAAGAAACTTAAAGGAGACTATACCTTCAGCCAAGAATAGTGAATGGTAGCTTAAAATTTGCCAGCAACTACGTCCATTGTAACTGAAATTTCAAGAATTTCCAGGAACTGCTACTTCTTTACAACAGTCGACTGTGAGCAGGATATTTTCAATTTCTCGAAAATAGATTGCTTTCTACATTGCGAATTTTATGACGGTAAAATATTTCACGGTTCGTTTATCAATATCTCATTTTTGTCCCATTAAATGGAAAACTAATACGGAACATAATGAAACAAAGAGTTACTCTAATGAAATATTTTACAAAATTAAATTTCGATTCTTTGTTGGCGAATAACGAGGTTAGAGTTCAAATAATGGAAAATACACATTTTTCCGCCGACTCGTAGTTTATAAATGAATTCCTTCTGCTAAAATATGTATACCGGAAA